ATGCCATCTGCAAATAATGACAATTTCACTTGCTCCTTTCCAATTTGGATCCCTTTTATTTTTTTCTTCCTGTCTGACTGCTGTGGCTAAGACTTCCAGTACTATGTTAAATAAGAGTGGTGAAAGTGGGCATCCGTGCCTTGTTACTGTTCTTAAGGGAAATGCTTTTAGTTTTTGCCCATTGAGTATGATGTTGGCTGTAGGTCTTTCATATATGGCCTTTATTATGTCCAGATATGATCCCTCTATTCCCACATTGCTGAGCGTTTTTATCAGAAATGGATGCTGGATTTTGTCGAAGGCTTTTTCGGCATCTATTGATATGATCATGTGGTTTTTATTGTTCATTTTATTATGTGGTGTATCACATTTATTGATTTGCGAATATTGTACCAGCCTTGCATCACTGGGATGAATCCCATTTGGTCATGGTGGATAATTTTTTTGGTATATTGCTGGATCCGATTTGCTAATATTTTGTTCAGGATTTTGGCATCTATGTTCATTAGGGATATTGGCCTGTAGTTTTCTTTCTTTGTTGTGTCTTTTTCTGGTTTTGGAATTAGAATTATGCTGGCTTCATAAAACGAGTTTGGAAGTCTTCCTTCTTCTTGAATTTTTTGAAATAGTTTGAGGAGAATGGGTATTAGTTCTTCTTTGAATGTTCGGTAAAACTCCCCTGTGAAGTCATCCGGGCCTGGGCTTTTGTTTGCTGGGGGAGTCTTGATTACATCTTCAATTTCTTCTGTTGTTATTGGTCTATTCAAGTTTTCTATCTCTTCCTGATCCAGTTTTGGGAGACTATGTGTTCCTAGAAATTTGTCCATTTCACTAAGATTGTCGAATTTGTTGTCATATAATTGTTCATAGTAGTTGTTAATGATCTTTTGTATTTCTGTGGTGTCAGTTGTTACCTCTCCTCTTTCATTACTGATTTTGTGCATTTGGGTTCTCTCTCTTTGTTTCTTGGTGAGTCTAGCTAAGGGTCCATCAATCTTGTTTATCTTTTCGAAAAACCAGCTCTTTGTCTCATTGATCCTTTGAATTGTTTTTTTTGGTCTCTATGTCATTTATTTCTGCTCTGATTTTACTATTTCCTTCCTTCTACTTGCTCTGGGGTTTTCTTTTTGTTTGCTCTCTAGTTCTTTAAGTTGTGAGGTTAGATAATCTATTATAGGTTTTCCTTGTTTTTTTGAGGTAGGCCTGTAGTGCTATGAATTTCCGTCTCAGAACTGCTTTCGCTGCATCCCATAGATTTTGTGTTGTTGTGTCTTCTTTTTCATTGATTTCCAGGAAGTTTTTGATTTCTTCCTTAATCTCCTCGGTGACCCATTCATTGTAAAATAACATGCTATTTAGATTCTATGTGTTCAAATGTCTTTGTATGTTCTTCTTGCAATAGATTTCTAGTTTCATGCCACTGTGATCTGAGAAGATGCTTGATATGATTTCAGTCTTCTTGAACTTGTAGAGACTTAGTTTGTGCCCTAACATGTGGTCTATCTTTGAGAATGTCCCATGTGCACTTGAGAAGAATGTGAATTCTGTAGTTTTGGGGTGTAATTCTCTGTAGGTATCTATTAAATCCATTTGGTCTAGTGCTTCATTTAGAGTCTCTGTTTCCTTGGTAATTTTTTGTCTAGAGGATCTATCCAGTGATGTCAGTGGGGTGTTGAAGTCCCCTGCTATGATTGTATTGCTATCGATTTCTCCTTTGAAGTCCTCCAGAAGATTTTTAATATATTTTGGTGCTCCTATATTGGGTGCATATATGTTTATCAAGGTTATATTTTCCTGTTGGATAGATCCTTTTAATATTATGTAGTGGCCTTCTTTGTCTCTAGTTATGGTCTTCATTCTGAAATCTATTTTATCAGATATGAGTATTGCTACTCTAGCTTTTTTTTCTTTTCCGTTTGCTTGGAAGATTTTTTTCCATCCCTTCACTTTCAATCTATGTGAGTCTTTTGTTGTGAGGTGGGTCTCTTGAAATCAATATATAGATGAGTCATGCTTTCTTATTCAATCATCTGCTCTGTGTCTTTTTATAGGAGCATTCAATCCATTTACATTTAAGGTGATTATTGATATGTACTTATTTATTGCCATTTTTGTTTAGTGTGGTTCTATTTTCCTTCCCATTTCTCCTGGTAATTACAGCAGTTCTTTTAACATTTTTTGCAGTGCTGATTTGGTGCTAATGTATTCCCTTAGCCTTTTTTTTGTCTGGGAAGCTTTTATTTGACCTTCTATTTTGAATGAGAGCCTTGCTGGGTACAGTAGTCTTGGATTCAGATTCTTGTTTTTCATGACTTTGATTACTTCATGCCATTCCCTTCTGGCCTGTAGTGTTTCTTGTGAGAAGTCATTTGAGAGCCTTATGGGGTTTCCTTTGTAGGTAACCTGTTGCTTATCTCTTGCTGCTTTTAGGATTCTCTCTTTGTCTTTAATTTTTGGCATTTTGATTACCCTGTGTCTTGGTGTGGGCCTGTTTGGGTTCTTCTTACTTGGGGCTCTCTGTGCTTCTTGAACTTGAATGCCTTCTTCCTTCACCCAATTATGTGCTCCTATATTGGGTGCATATATGTTTATCAAGGTTATATTTTCCTGTTTTCTGTCACTATTTCTTTGAATATATTCTCTAACCCTTGCTCATTTTCTTCTTGTTCGGGGGTTCCTATGATGCGAATATTATTCTGTTTCCAGTTGTCCCACAGTTCTCTTAAGCTGTCTTCCTGTTTTTTAATCGTTTTTTTCCTTTTGGTTTTCTGACTGGTTGATTTTTTCTAGCCTGTCTTCTAATTCACTGATCCGGTCCTCAGCTTCCCCTACTCTGCTTTTTAGACCTTCCAATGTGTTTTTCATTTCTGATATGTCATTCTTCATTTCTTCTTGTTGGCTTTTAATTTCCAACTGGTTGATTTTCAACATTTCTATGTCTTTACTGATGGTGCTCATATCCTTACACATGCTGTTGAGCTTCCTCAATATCATGGCTCTAAATTCTAGTTCTGTTAACTTGCTTAACTGCACCTCATTTATCTCATCTTCCGTAGAGGTCTCTTGTTCTTTCATTTGGCTTTTGTTTCTGTTTTTCACCATTTTGGCTATCACAATGGGCTTTGGAGGCTGCCGAATTTTCCCTGTGGGTGTTGGTGTTCTGCTGTTTGTGGCTCCCTCTCCTGGGTTTGGATGAGCCAGGGAGGACCCACTTTCAACACCACTGTCAAGTCTTAGCTTTTCTGGTTTGTGTTGCTAGCCCAGGGAATGGTATTTATCCTCTAGCTTTTTTGTCTGGAGGCTATTAGTAGAGGTCACCTGAAGACCCTGGTTTCTGAGTTGACTGAAAAACTCCCTCAGGTGCTCAGTGTAAGAGGATTTCCTGAGGGTGGGGCAGCTGCTAGTTGTTAATGGGCCTTAATTAGCATTTCAATGGCCATCATGTGTGGTTGAATCTTCGAGGGAGGGGCCTCTGCCTCTCCCCAGGGCCCTGGGAAGGAGTAAAATGACCACCGTCCTGTGTGGCTGCACTCAGCCAAAGCTCTGAGCGCCCTCCAAAATCCGAGTATCCCCACACAGCTCCAGTCCAGTCTGCCCTCCCTCTGCTGGAGCCCAAGGTGAGTGGCTGCTGCCAATTTAGCCTCTGTCCGGACTCTGTCGTGGAGCCGCCTGGGCCTTTTAACCCGAGGGCGCTGCTTCCAGCCAAGGGCGGGCGTGGCTGCAGCACCAGCTGAGGGCGTTGCACTCAGCAGAAGCCCCAGGACTGAGCCGCGGTAGCGGGACACTGCCGGGGTGGCAGCAGCTTCCAGCACAGTCGCCTGGTCCCAGCGAGTCCCTGCAGCACCAGCCGAGGGCTTAGCACGCAGAGTTCGCAGGACTTAGCCGGGGTGGCAGCCAAGGCAGCAGCAGCCTCCCGCCGAGTCCCCGGGTCGCAGCCAGTCCGTGCCAGTCCGTGCGGCACCAGCTGAGGGCTTAGCAGGCAGCAGAGTTTGCAGGACGCAGGCGGGGTCTCAGCAGAGGCGGCAGCAGCAACTTCCCGCCGCCGAGTCCCCTCGTCCCCGCCCAGGCCGCTGTGGACCGTGGGCTCCCGGCCCCTCTCGCGTCCTCGCAAGCCTACCAGGATCGAGTCAGTGTCCCTGGTTATGTGGTCCTCTAAGGTGTCTTTCGGTTGCCCCTTCCTGACGATTTGCCTTTATTTTCGTTGTGAATCCAGTTTGGTCCTGGGAGACGTCTGTGTAGCTCCATTCACTCCGCTGCCATTTCTTCTACCTTATCACTCTTTATGGGGTAATTTTCTGGTTCTGGAATGAAACCAACTGTTCGGGGCCTGAAGAGCCTATTGGACCACTGACTGGTACATAATTAGGAAAAATCTGGCTAGCCCTGTCATGGTGCATAAGAGGTTATGAGATATTATATGCAATCTGAAGATGTACAATTGAAAATTCCTTATTATCTGGAAACCAACTGTGCAGGGAATAAGTTATTCTGACTCTAAGTGCGGGTATGGGTGATTATGTGCACATTTACGTGTGTGTACGTACACAGGTGTGCCGTTCTCTTTCCAGGGACACGCAGGCTGGGAAAATGAGCTTGCGTGGTTAATATTCATGAAGCCTCAGACTCTCGGGCAAAACTATAAAATGAGACAAGTGATAACCCAGAGGCGCTGTAAAACCAAAATATTCCCAGGGCCGTACCTGACCGTGCTTAGTCAAATGTGAGAGAAGGCAATTGTGATTTAAAAAAAAACCATTTTAAGTTATAAATGATTAATCCAAAAACCTAATTCTTTGAACAATTTACGTAATCCGAGTCATTTTGAATTTTTAATCACAGACTATATAAAGTAACATTAAAATATTGATACATTATGTCTCTTCAGTTACAGAAGAGTGAGTGGATTAACAGGCTAGTATTTTTAGAAACAAAAATTTCACATCCATAGTAATTAGCCAATTGTCCGATCGTTATGTTTTGAAATGCCAGATGGCAGAATTTTATGGTTTTAGTAACACGAGTACAATGTGCACACAAGCTGTCTGTTCATGCTCTTCGCTGTGCAGCCTGGCTTTGGGGTTGGTGACTCTGATGGCCAGCTCTTTCCCGGTGGCTTCCCGGTCCTGTGAGGAGACGTCGTGAACCATCTCAGCACCTAAGATCCGCTGCATGACAGCAGCACCGAGGGCTGCTTGACCTTGTGGGCCAGCGACTTCCAAAAGCCACTGGGCAGCATGTGCTTTGTGTTCCTGCTGCTGCCATGGGCGGTGTTGGGCGTCAAGATCTGGCCTTGAGCCTTCTGCACCCCCATCATCAATGCCGCCGAGTTTCCGCTTAATTTTGACGTGTCGGTCTGACTGGTGCCAGATGAACTTTTTGCTCTTTGTGGAGATCTTGGGTCTCGCGAGGGGTCCGAGGGCAGCCCTGGTGCGGAGGAGGAGATGGCAGCGCCAAGGAAGAGCCAATGGTTCCAATATTTGATCATGAAATAAAATTAGAGCTAATTTATATTGTGTTTCCTGAAAGCAAAACAAAAGTTTTACATAAAAAAATGAATAAAGAAAGAAAACCTAGTGCTTACCAAGTGTCAATTCAAAAGATGTTAACATTTGTTATCACACATGCACCAAGCAAATATTATATTAATATATTTTCAAAATGCACTTGGTTACAGTTTTTATTAATGCACAGTAAAAACAATCATGAGAACACCAAACTTATAAGTCAGTCTCAGGGTGCAATGTACAATGTAGGGAGTACAGTCAGTAATATCGCAGTGACTTCGTATGGTGACGGGCTAGACCTCTTGTGGTGATCACATCATAGGGTATGTAGATGTAATTCTCTGTGAGCTACACCTGAAACTAATATCATGTTGTAAGACAACTATACTTGGATTTTAAAATGCCTTAAATTCCAGGAAAAAAAGCAATAATGAGAACTAGATAGAAAAGGACTATACATGTAAATGTCACATGGTGATATGCTAGGGACACTATGGAATCTTCCTGAGTAAAATCAGGGGAAGAATAGAAACCATGCTTTGTATACTGGTATCAACGTCTCTCTTTCTGCTAGATGACATGAGCCAGTGATATGAAGAACATTGCAAAATAAAAATAAAACAGTCATGAAATTTTGTGTTCTCGAGGTATTTTCCCCTTGAATCTGCCGATTTCCTCAAAAAACAAACAAACACAAAACAAAAACAAAACCCCAGAACAAAACAACAAAATACATTTGAATTAGCATTCATTATAGAGATAAACTGATACTCTTGGGCATATAATTATTTTATGCCCAGACTTTATGTCCTTTATTTCCGAGTGTTATAAAATTTCTGGGCATTCGGTTTTCTCCAATTACAGCATTGGAGATCACACTAGAAGATGAATTTCTCTTTTTAGAGAAATCCCTCTAGAGAGCTTTCCAAACCCGCTCCCTTGTCATCGGACGCCCCGTTCTCCCAGAGACGTAAGGCCAGTCGTCAGAATTGTTCTCACCTGGACGGAGAGCCGTCTAACAGCCACTGAGACGCACACGCCTCCTGACGGGGTCTCGGGTCACTCGGGGGAGCTGCTTCTGGGCTTTGGTTTTCTGCTGTGGGTGGTTCGTCATCATTGTTGATTTTCGTGATGAGTGTGCATCGCCTTACCAAAGCACCTCTCGCCTTAAACACTGGATTTGCCTTTTCAGATTTCAGTGTGTGGAGTCGCTGGTGTCCTGCCCGGTTTTTCTGCTTGCTGGTTGCCTTAGAACAGGCAAGCCGCCAGCCCAGCGCTCCTGAGTGCGGCGGGGAGAACGGACGGGCGGGCAACCTAACGCAATCTTAGGCCGCTTCATGGAGAAATCAGCTAAGCTGCTATCGTTCTGTTCTGTTTACTTGTTTTAATCCTGGAGAGTGTTGAATGATGCTGCCTTACGCACGTATTTAGAGGAGAGTTTATGAAAAATCTGCTGTGACATTATTCAAAGCAGTCTGAATATCGTCAGATATTTCTAATGTTGAACCACTCAATGAATTATTTGAGAAAGAATAATGTGTTACGGTTTATAATGTGCATTTTTTTCCCCTATATTTATTTATTGGAAAAATACACATGGTTGGAAGAAGAGTGAGTAAAATATTTTGCAAAATGCAAGAATTCTATAAAAATGAGTTTTCTTCCTGTGTTGGCAGACAGGAAAGCAAGACTGTCCAGAAATGGAGTGAAATCAGAATTCAGGGCAATGATGCAACTGCAATTAGTGCGTTTTATATGCATTGCTGGGGGGGCAGGAGAGTGGTGATTGTGCTGCCTAACCCAGCCCGCTGGCCTGCCAGGGCCTGAACAACGGACCCTTTTACGGCTGTGACATCTTTATGCAGAGGGTCCTTTCTTTTCCTGACTTGGCTGCTTTTGTACACATTTCGAATGTTTTTGATCAAATGCATATATACAGCCCAACGCCCCCCCCTTCCCGAAGGCACCGTCCCTTGACTAAGGAAAGCCCTAAAGTAGCTTTCATCAGGAATAAAGGTATGGGGCGGGGGAGGGAGCTAGGAGGCCGGGGGCTGGCTCTATCTGTAACAGTTTGAAAGAGATTTGAAGGGAGATGACATGACCATTGAAAGCCGGTCGGCGGGTCAAGGTTCATGCATCTGCACAGTGGAAAGATCAGTGGAAGAGCAGAGTTCTTGTATAGCAGTGGTCATATTCCTTTTTTCCCCACTTGGATGAAGTAAAAAGTGAAGTTCCTGCCCGGACTCGGGGCCCCTGTCTCCTTCAATGCCGGCAGTGACCGGCACAGATAGGATTGCACATTCACACGCAGAGATGGCTGGTCTTCCCTGTTCCCCCACGCTGTGTGGTGATGACCTGCGACCTCCTGCCTCTCCCCCAACATGAACCTTTCTTCTTAGGGGAAGAAAAGGCGGGGAGGGTGCTGAGCCAGGGAGGATAGAATACATTAACTCATTCAGTTTGAGGCCTTGCAATGGCTCAAGATTAACTGGACCACTGAATAACCCCACTTCGTTGAACAGGCAGGCCGCTCAAATTGGATCATTCTGCTGTGCTCAGCCCAGGAAGAGATGGGAACAAAACACACTGAAAGAAGATACAAGTAGTATTCATTGGACCAGTCATTGCTAAAGCAATCTCACCAGGACACTCCAACATTTTTTGTTAAATTTGGGACTCTGGTATTAGGAGGAAAAGAAACTTTATTTGTGAATTTGAATTTTCTCCATCTCCATATGAATATTATATTCACTTGCGATGAAACTTTATATGGTATTCATGACATTTGTATTTGGTAATTGTATATTTGCACAGTGTGGCCGAGGGAAAGAAGGATACAGGCAGTATAAGAAAGTCGTCATTTCTTATAAACACCATAATCATCTTCATAAATACATCTGCGATGCACATATATTTGTAATGAAGAAGCAGCCTTTCTCTTTTGGTGGGCTGTTGTAAGGATCACATGAGACAATGCATGTAGATTCAGCTATTGGATTTTTTGTTGCTTTTCTTATGTTTACAAAACATAAATTGTCAGGCTGTTCTTTGGAATGACTGGCATGTGCCCCAACAGGAGTTCCTGCTAGTGACTCAGCACTTGTAGGTAAAAGCCATAGCTAGTTGCCCAGGAACGGATTCGTGGAACGTGGGATAGAGTATAGGGATGTTGTAATGGAGGAAATTCATCCATCTATTGGGAAAACATACCCACGGGCTTTGGAGTAGAAATCAGCTCATATTGTTCTACATAAATATATATTTCAAATGAATTTTACATTTTAGAAAATGTCTGGAAGAAATGTCAGAATTCACTGTGCTTTATTATTCTACCTCTAACTTCAGCAAAGAAGGGTTTTCTCGCCTTTTTATCTATCTGTACATGCCTCTCTCTCATCTACCTACCTACCTACCTACGTACCTACGTACAGCTATTCACCTGTCTCTCATTTATCTGCAGACCTACTTAAATAAACATGTATTAATCCTTCTGTTACCTTATTTTGGACTTGTGATGGAGTGTTTGATTAGATCCACATCCTTAGGACACTATCATTGGATATTATGTAAGGCCCCTGCCATGTTCCCCCTTCTTTCGTCAGTTCTTCATTTCCTTCTTTCTATTTTACCCCCCTCTCCACTTACATTTCCCTGCCTCCATAGTAATCATTCTGATACATTTGGTATGTATAATTTTTTTTTTAAATCCTCACCCGAGGACACTTTGCCATTCACTTTCAGATAGAGCAGGAGGGAGAGAGAGACACACACACACATCGACTGGTTCCCCCTTGCACAACCCTGACCATGGCTGGGGACTGAACTGCAACCGAAGTATGTGCCCTTGACTGGAATCGAACCTGAGACTCTTTGGTCCACAGGGCCCATGCACTAACTGCAGAGCCAAACCAACCAAGGCTGGTATGCATAATTTATTTGCATGTGATTTGTTTTATGTGCATATACATTTAATTCACATAGATGTTGTTACATTATAGACTCATTCTATTTCTTTTTCATGTTTTGAATATCTATTCATTGCCTGGCATGTGTAGCTCAGTGGTTGAGTGGTGGCCGTGCACCAAGAATTTGCTGGTTCAATTCCCAGTCAGGACATGACCAGGTTATGGGTCCGATCCCCAGTGTGGGGCATGCAGGAGGCGGCTAGTCGATGTTCTCTCTCATCGATGTTTTCATTTCTCTCTCCCTCTCCCTCTAAAAAATTAAATAGATAAAAATAAATAAAATGTATATCTTTAAAAAAAAGATCTAGTCATGTCCCTGTGTCCAGGTCTAGTCTTTTTTGCCAGCGGCTGCGCAGTATCACTCAGTGTTCATGGCCACGTTGGGTTGTCCATTCCTCCCTGGATCGCGTTCACATCACTTCCTCTAAACACCACACTGAGGTGACCATTCACATGTATTTTCTCATACTTGTGTGAGAATTGCTCCAGGATATGCATGAAGGGTATGACTTGATCTAGGTCATAGCATGTATTCCATTGAATGTAAGGCTGTCACGTTGCCCTTCGATGGCCTGGCCAGCTTCAAGTCCTACAAGCAGCTCAGGGAATTTTTCATTTCTCCATTTCTCCAGGCGCACCTGCGTTGTCTAGGTTTCTACTGTTTCCCTATGCTAAGATGGCCTATTACTCTTTTGATGACTGCAAATGATAATGTCTTTGCTTTAGTGGCCTTCTTTTTTGAGTCTTTTTCATGAAATGCTTGTTTACATCCTTTGCCTATGTTTTTCTTTCTTTGATTTGCTATATTTTCCTTGTGGATTAGGAAGAGTTCTTTGTATATTCTAGATATAGATATTAGACCGTTGTTGGTTTTATATACTGCATGTTTTCTAAGAGTAATAAGCAGAGGGTTTAATAACTTTGCCCATCATGTTTTTTGCTGACACAAAGCCTC